TTAAATTTGAATGGATTTTTAAATGAATTCCAGCTGTAGCAGGGGTGAACTTCATTTCCCTCAAGAGAAAAACAGTGAAGTCTTAAATATTACATGATCTCACTTATATGTGGAATCTAAAACCTAAACAAAACCAAGTTCATAGATACAGAGAACATAACGGTGCTTGCCAGAGGTGGAGGGCAGGGGGGAAGAGGTTATCATTTCCCAAAATATGCAAATATTGAATTGTTATGTTGTACACCCAAAACTAATATTGTATATCAATTATATCTCATTAATAATGATAATAAAAAGAAACATTGAAGCCTTGAGCAGTTAAGCCAAATTTTAAATCCATGCTACTTCTCTTGGCTGAAGTTAACACCATTTTATTAAGTTGGTAGTGAGCTGTAGCTGCCCCACTTTTCCTTTGTTCATCAACTATCGATCTAAAGTAATCACCTAATTAGCCCAGGCATGAAGTCTTCTGTGGTGTTAAATAACTCTGAAAACTTACTGGAGATGCTTGAGTGGCCTGATTTGAATTAACTTGCAGTTCATTACCTATAGACTAAGATATGTTAAATGCAAGGCCCGAAAAGCAAGCTGGATTCTGTACTGAGAACAAATTCTTTTTACTTATGGGGGGGTGGGGGGTGGGGGGAAGCATCCCTTTAGGCCAGTGGTTTCCAAAGTGTGGGTCCCATGTCAGCATCACCTGGGAATGTGTCGGGTCCCACTGCAGATCTATTGACTCAGAAACTCTGGAGGAAGGGCCTTGCAATCAGATTTAATAAGACTTCCTAGTGATACTCATAGAGAACCACTGCCTTAGACTATCTCTCAAGGTTATGGACTTGTTTTTGTGAGCCTACCTCATGCAGAGAGAAGAAAAAGAGGAAAGGAGGAGAAAAAGAGGAGGGACAGGAAAGAACATTATAAAGGTGGTGAATGAGACCTGAGCAACCTGGCTGGGAAGTCTGTTTACGCAGGTGTGACCGTGGACCGGCAGCATGGGCCTCATGTGGAATCTGGGAGTGTTACTTCATATCCTTCCTTAAGAACATTATGGGATAGAAAGATATTCACCCCAGGCCAGCGTGACTAGACAGAATGCTGAGAATGACTAAAATGCTGCTACATTGTTGAGAAGTGAGAGGACAGTAGGGCATTTGTGGAGTGAAATAAAGAGTACAAGAAAACCATGATCTCTGAGAGCCTTCCCCATCTCCCACGATGTATACACAGAGGGTACTTAGTAAATGCTCATTGAATTGACAACAGTTGAACGTTAGAGGCCTAGATCGAGTTTCCCCAGCTAATTTTGATCTGCGGAAAGTAGATGTGTTTATTGGGTCTGGTCTATAGAGAAAATCAAGACTTAACCCCTAGGACATCTACTGTCCTCTCTTGTCCTGCCTTCTGAGAAACAGTTTGGCTCAGGTGAAAGAGTCAGGCATTAGACATGCGTTATTACTAGTATGTGACCGTAAGCAAGTCACAAACCCTCTAAACTTTGGTTTTCTCATCTATGCGAGGAGGATAATAGTTACTTCTACATGTTTTTGCTCAGCATTGTAGCCCTGGCACCTAGTACATATGATAATTGACATAAAATAGGTGGTGAATAAATCTTAAATAAATATAAGGATAAAAAAGGAAAGAAGGAAGATCCGTTGACTTTTTTTTGAGGCTGATGAAATAATGTTTTGAAAATGCCTAGCATAATTTATGTCTGGTACATAGATATTCTGTAAGTAGCATCTATCATGATGATGAGAAAGAGAAAGAAGAGAATCATAATAATAGCATTAATAATGGATTTGGTAAAAGGTTTTTCTAGATACTTAGAGCGGGGCCTATATCCTTGCTGAAACTGACGCTATTCTTCCCATTCCCTTCCCCTCTGCAATCCATAGCTAATTCACCTTTTCAACTGTACCTTAGGGACCACCTCACTTTTGCTAAGCCCAAACAAAGCCTTCTAGTGTGGTGCATAAAGGTGATCAAGGTGTTTTCAGAACTGAAATGAACTGCAGGTGTGTGCCTGAGGCTTGGTGGTGGTAGTTGTTCTCACCCATTTTCAATCCCTATAATTAAGTAATTACATGTTAATTATTTTATGTTGTTTTATTTCTAGGACAGGTAATCATTAACCTTTTGGATAGCATATTTGTCTCACAATCATAGTAAGCATTTTTAGTAACACTCTTCCCATATGTTATTAAGTTATAGGAATGCCATTCGTTGCCTTCATTTACATGATTAAAGGGATGCTTTCACCTTGAGAATGTCTGGATATTCCCTGCCTTTTCTTAATTATCCCTTCCCCTTTCCCTCTGAACATCAGTATGAATGACTAACTTGCCAACTCAATAGACAATTCAGGAGGGAAATTGAGAAAGGTATTTATTAAATTTGCTAAGAGTCCTTGGTTATCGATTCTTCTCCAAAGAGCACATGGGTTTTGATCCCAAACCCACCTATTATCAAATTTCTGACCTTGAGAAAATTGTCTAACTTTTCTAAGTCTAAATGTCCATATGTATTATATAGAGATCTTGTGTGGATTATATAATATTTGCAAATATATCTATTTCTTTCTTTTATGAGCGTATTGGGCAGGTATACTCAAAAGAAACAGACCACTGGAAGAAGGTCCATGTGCAGACCTTCGTTTCAGGCTGAGATATAGGGAAGGAAAGATGGGAGAAGTTTCTGCTCAATGAGACCCATAGCTCCTTTTCACCAACTGAAAGAATTGATGGGGCTTGAGAAGTATTGTTCTATAACTCTGGGTCAACTGTGATGAAGATAATCACGAGAAAACTTTCTTTCAAGCTCCTTGTCAAAAATAGAGTATCATTCTCTTCTGCCTTTTGTATTTGGATTCTGGGTAGAACAATAAAGATAAGGAACGGGCCTAGAAATTGAAAAGTAAGCACACAAAGATAAACAGAAGACTTCTTCCTCCAGAATGTTGTCACTAGAGAGAGGGATCATTGGGTCATTTTAGTCTGACAAGAACAGCAATGGAAATGGACCCATATACATATATCCAGTTATCTATTGCTTCCCATAAAACGAGCAACTCTCCAGCTCTTGAGCAAAACAGAAACAACCTAGTAGGTATTTGTGTCCAAGAAGAAATCAGAAAAATGAGGCTATTGCTAAGGACATGGTTCTGACTCAAACATTGTTCTCTACTGCCTTCTGTATTTTATCAATGCAGGCTAGACCGACTTTAGCAAAAGTTGGTTTTAGCAAAAGTAATAGCTTTCCCATATTGGTATCAGGGGGTTTTGTTAGTTCTTAACGCATTTTTTAAAAGGCACTGTAAATACTCCTTGTTGGGTCATCATGCCTTCCAGCTAAGCATGGACTCATGGAGCTGGCATAGAAGTAAAGATTCAGAGCTGCCCTTCGGTCTCTACAGGCTCCAAATCATGGCAGAGGTACAAGAAGAGACTGAAATGAAGAAACTGATGGGCAGAAAGGCAGAAATGAGGCTCCTATAGGGGTTTAATTGCATAGATAAAATGGAAGGAAAATTGTAGTAGGCTTACAGTATGGCTCAACTCACTATTTCCTCAGTGACTGTTTATTTACTTCTTTGATTGAAAGCCAGTGAGTGACATCTGGGATTAGTCCCAGAGGCGGGGGCCAGGCATTCTGATGACATTTGCTATTGAAACTGAGTTGAGATCAATGTTTGACCTGGTTCACAAATCAGCAACCCTCAAGCTGGGCAAAATTACCAGTACTTGCCATCTTCCCTCACTGGCATTTTATCTTCTGAGAACATTCTGTTCAGCTAAGAGAGAAGCATCTCAGACTAGGCTTGGGAACCAGAGAGCTTCCCAGTCTCAAGGAGGCATTGCCAATCATTATCAGTAGATCGAGTTTTGACAAAGACATAGTAAGATTTGAAACAAGATGTGATTCAGTCATACTCAGTCTATTTACTTATACTGGATCAGAAACAGTCAAATGCCAAATGTCCTAAGTAGTGGGTTCAATAGCACCCCATTTGCCCCCACTCCTCCCCAAAAGATATGCCTATGTCAAATCCCTGGAATCTATAAATGTTACCTTATTTTGAAAAAGGGCCTTGGCAAATGTAATTAAGGATATTAAGATTTTGAGGATATCATTCTGATTTATCCAAGTGAACCCTAAATTCAAAGACAAGTGTCCTTAGAAGAGATACACAGTGCAGAGACACACAGAAGTGGAGGGATGTGAAGACAGACGCAGAGACAGAAACGATGCCAAGGACCACCAGCAGCCACTGGCAGCTAGGAGAGGTTGCACCAGGGCCTCTGGAGGGAGCGCAGCCTTGAAGGATTTTGGATTTCTGGACTCCAGAACTGTGAGAGAACACATTTCTGTTGTTTTAAACCCCTGGGTTTGTGGTCATTTGTTGGCAGTCACAGGAAACGAAGGCACCACATGTTGGTGATGACTTTTGTGGTCAGGCAGTGGCCCATAGGCCCAATTCTCAAGGAGGTTTTTCGTGTAAAAAGTTCTACTTTTGATTCTTTGTAGCAGTGTTTTATGTTTCTCTATAAACTCTACTCCCCCCTTTTTATTAATATATCCAAGGAAAGAAAGGGCCCCCTTCTGTCATACCCCCTTAAAGAAATTGGTTATTAAGGGCAAGGGCTGTGCTTCCTAATAAAATTTGAGAGCTTTTCCATTTTCTTTCCTTACATTCCTACCACTCAAACAGCCTAGTCGGAAGTGTCAGATCACTGAAGTTGGCTAATTTTGCCAACTTCAGCTCTTTCATCTCTGCCTCTCTGCATCCAAGGCAGGAGGAGCATATGACCAAGGGAAAGTTGTACATTTCTTGTTCTACCATCTTACCTACCAATGGAAATGCTCTAAATCTTATCTCAGCCTTAACAAATCTTTGATTTACAGGAAGCACAGTAATCCTAAGACATCAACTTCCTCAGTAGTGCCTTTTAGAGGCCCCAAAATATCAATTTTTAAGTTAGCCAACACACAAGATAAATATTTTAACTACCATTTTATTTCCAACCAGGCCAAGGGACAATTTAAAAGGGTTTCTATTATAAGTATATAGACAAGAAAGTGTGGAAGGGCTGCCGATGCTGTTGTTTTGAAGTTAGCCTGTCAATCATCGTGATTGTAACATAACCCCCCTTGGCTTCCACAAGTGTAATAAAATGCTTTGGAAAGGTTGCAGAATTGTAGGATGTAATAAAATCTGCTTAGCTTCATTTCCAATGCCGTGAAGTCCTAGAGAACGAGGCCCGTTTCCTTATGCCTTGGGATTTGTTCGAGTTACTTTCGTGCCTGGAAATGACAGAACATAAAAACAGACATTTAAGTTAGAAGCAATAGCATTTTTTAAGTCATGGAAATAAATATAATGTAAGTTTGCTTACTGCTAATCTGTTAGTTTGCCATTAACATTGTCTAAGAAGCCAATTAGTTGTGGCAGATTATGTGAAATAGGTGAGTGGCAATCCTGTTGATGTCTGTACCCACTGGATCCCCACATTTTCTATGGCTTGTGCCCACGGCCCATGCCCCAATGACAGCTGCATGGTCTCTTAAGAGTCTGTTTTATAGACACACGGCTTACATACACATGAGGCCAATTCAGACCTTTATTAATTAAGTAAGAATATGTTTTCAAACATAGCTATTATCAGAATTACCTGATGAGCTCGTTAAAACACAGATTTCTCGAGCCTCTCCCCCACATTCTGACTTAGCCTGTCTGGAGAGAGGTATAAGGAGCTGTGTTTCTTCACAGGCTCTCCATATGAGTCTGAGGTTCTCAGCCCCTGAATTTTGGGAATGAGCGAGCTAGTGCTCAGCAGGAGAGCAAAGGGCGAGCAGACATCCCTTCGGAATTACATCTGTTCCCTTCCAGAAAATGGAGGTCGAATCACTTTTGCTTCAGCCTTCACTTCCGAGCTTTGGATCCGCTCGCTCCCCACTAAGTCCCCTGATGTCATAAGTGAGGGGTGGAGAGTGGGGTGTATGCACCAGTCAATTTGTACCCCCTGGAAAAGGGAGCCTGTCTCATTCCTATATGACATTGGGATCATCCCCTATTGTGTCCAGCACCACCCAGCTTGTCTGGACGTACAGGTCATCTCCCAGTCATTCATCATTGCCCTTGTCCTTGAACAATTATTGACTTTGAGTCAGAGACACCTGTGCAGGCCTGAAAATGGATGTGCCCTTTCTTTTCCTCTGCCTCGCCTGTCTAGGGCAGATTTATGTCCTAGGAGAAGTTTCCCTCGGTTTTACTTTGGTCTTTTGAATGTTGTAGCCGCACGTTCCTTCCCACATCTGCCCTTTCCGACACCAGCCCTGTAATTTCTGAATCTCCGTGGATGCCTCTATCCATACCTGAGCAGGCTTCCTGTCAGTCCACGTACAATGTTTCTGTAGCCCATCCCTCACACAACTTTGACATCCAAACTGTCGGCCTAGCTTCTTCAGGCTCTGTCTTCAGCAGTTTCTTTTCTCTAACTAGCCTGCAAGCCTGTGGGAAGCAGAATTTGCTTTTCCCGCCAGAGCACGAGTGAACATGCTGGGCTTTGAGAAGAATTGGGCCTGAAGTTGAGCCTTGTCATTTGCTGGCTGTGTGTCTCCAGGCAATGTGAAGCACACTTTTGCGGGTGTGGAGAGAACTCAGTGGGTTAGTACAGGAAAGCATTTAGAGCAGGGGTTTATAAGTACTCACTAATGTGAGGCTCTGTTATTGTCATTATTATTATATATTCTCTGTTAGGAACCAGCAGGCAACAGAGAGAGACCCGTGAGTGATAAACCCAGTGCAGGTCAGTACTTAGCTACATAGGAAAGATTCAGCCTCATTATCAGAGAGGGTGCCTCTGGGCAATGTACTTATCTTCCCATCTTCTGATTGGATTTCACATGCTATGTGCCCTTCTTCATGTCTCCAGTTTCCTTCCCTATCACCTCTAGACAGGAGTGTTTTTAATGTTATCTGGGCAGATCAGCAAATGTATTTATTGATGTGTAAGTAAAGCTCAGAGGAGAATGAGAAGAGGTGAATGATGATATTCTCAAGGTGCATCCAACCCATTTGGCACAGGATGAGACAAGGCAGTAGATAATCAGGTGGCAGGTGAGCAGTCCAGAAAACATGGGCTTTCAGACTTCCAAGAACAGAGCAGGAGCCCAGGACGTCTGAAGTTTGACTGGTCCCCATAAACGTGTGCTTTTCAAATATTTCTACATTCCTAACAAACATAATGGGAGATGAACCGACTGTCCTTCTCCCTCTACAAGGCCAGGTTTGAGAATAACATAGTATTGTGAAATTCATTATCAGGGTTTTGTTTTGAAGAGAAGGGAATGAAGGCAGAAAAGCTCCATTGCTTTGAATAGTAAAGAGATTTTTGGGGAGTGGAGCTTTGAAGTTAGAAAGAAAATAAACACATCTAATGAGGAAAGTTTAAATAATTTTTAAGTCTGGTTTCCTGCATGGTAGGGGCTGCGATCTCATCAATCTCTCCTAGAAACCTTCAGGGAGGTCTTTGAAGTTGCTTTGCATTTTGTTGTCATGATTTAGTGAGTACAGAGTGAAAGCAGAGGTACCACAGGGATCCCGACTGGGGTATTAACAGAAACACCCGGCTCCTCTTGGAACACGCAGGAGCCAAGAGGCTTTATAAAGTCTTTCTCCAGGAAAAAACGGGCGCAGAGTCCCCCGCTTTCAACAGATCCAACCACCCTCTGCATTCATTCCAGGTAACATCTTTTCACTAAGTTTGTAAATGAAGGAATCTCCTGCTTCTTACTCCATTCCTCCTACACAGCCATAAGCCCAGAGATAGAGGGCCTCTTCTGCTTTGAAGCTAAGAAAATAGATCAATTATTTCTTCAGTAGGTGAAGCTGGAGGGGAGATGGCCACAGTCGGACTAATTTGATAGAGTGTAAAAGGCAGGTTTGGGACCACAAAAACTCAGCAGGCCTTCCTTCTATTTTCTTAAGGTAGTGTTTTTCAACGTGGCTGCTCATTGGAATCACATGGGGAAGTCTAAAAAATGCCCTGCTTCCATCCCATTCCCAGAGATTCTGCTCTAACCAGTCTGGACTATGGCCTGGCCTTCTGGAGGAGAGTCACTGAGTGTGACGGTGAGGAGCTCCAAGCCTGTCTCCTTCCCGATGCAGTTCCAAAGTGTGCTTCCCATAAAATGCTCCAAAGCCTCAGAGCAATTCAGAGACTGGAGACAGCTTTCAGTAGGTTTCAGCTGCAAATATTCAGCTTCCAGTAGGGTTGTCTGTCTTCTGCATTCTTAGCAGAGCCACACAAATAGGACATGTTTTGTCCTTCAAAGGTAGTGATTCTTGCCCATGAGCAGGACTAAAATGACCTGCGTTCATACCAGGGCTGACACAGAAATGGTTTTAGAACCAAGTAATCACATTCCCCAACATAACATAAAACCTCTGTAACAACTCTCTTCTTTTAAAAGTAACTCTTAGTTCCTAGCAGGCTAGAAGCAGACAGCTGTGGAAAGTCATTCTGCTCACACCAAAAACAGGGTAAGCAATTTTTTAAGGGCAGGCACCCCTGACCTCTGCTTTTCAGATTTTTCTTAATAAACTGGAATCAGAAATTGGACCACAAAAGCCATGGGTGGCAATCTCTTACAGAAAGCGGGTAAAGGTGAAGGTGGGGGAGAATTGGCAACAGAGAGCCACTCTGATCAGTATCACCACGACAGCGCAATTCTCCTTCCATCTAGAGATAGGAAGGGTGACCCCAGAGCTGTGAGGCAAGACTTCAGAGAGCAGGGCAACTTCCCAGCAAGTTTTCTAACTCACAACTATTCCTCTGTGACATGTCACACGTGCTCATTAATAACACAACTCCCTGCAATAGGAAAGTGTTAATTAACTTTCTGTTAAACATGCTCTGTTTCCTAGTCCTCCGAGTGTGTCCTCGAGGGCACAGAAAGCAGCTCTGGGCACTGGGTGGCCAGCCCCCTTAGGAGAGAAGATGCAGACCTCCGTTCTGCAGCTAGGTAAGGTCTCACCCCATGGCTGTCCTTTATAGGGTGGACACAGACTCAGCATTGTCAGGGTTCTCTTTGAAGCAATAATTCAAAAATGAAGAACAGCAAACAAGCACGGAAGGTGATGATGACCAGACTTGTAGCTACGAGTGATTAACAGCAGGCCCACAGGGCTTATCACCTCTTATCCCATCGTGTTCTGGCAAACGAAAGCGTATAGGTTTTGAGGCTGGTGGTAGGAGTCAGATGGCAGAACAGAGCAACTCCGCCCCCCACGCCACCCCCGGAAAACCGGTGCGCCTCCTTAGACAGGTTCTTGTTGCTCGCCTGGAGCCAGGAAGGCTTCTGTCTCCCATGTTTGCTTTCTTTCCATCCACTTCTGTGCCTCGCAAAGCCTCTCTCTAAAAGGTTTTCTCATTCTGATGGAGCTTATGAAGAACAGGCTTTATTTGTCTCTAAATCTTCAGCTGATATTACTTTTCCCAGAGACTCAGTCAAAATGAAAAAGGATTACTTTATATTTACTTGCGTCTTCCATGAGAGAAACTAATTTTGAGAAAGAAAGTCCTTACAATGTGAAACATTTTCCCTTCCTTCAAACCCTCCAAAGGGGCACAGGAAAAGCTAAAAGGTGCGCATGCTTTGTCATTTACTTTGTCTGACAGTTTCTTCTTATCGTGCTTTTGAGGGTGACCTTCCTCCAGCATATTCTTTCACTCTAGTGTGTGTTCCTGTTATAATAGAATTTTAGAGCCGAGCATGGAGCAGGCTACCTTTGATAATTAATGGCTCTGAGAGTTTGCTGAGTATGTTATTTAATTAATGGCACTTGTGTCTGGAGTGTGTACAACTCCGTAGTTGAATAAAAGGTGCATTTGCTGAAGGATTACAGACAAATACTCAGGGATCGTCACATTGAGAATTTATCGGGGTTCAGCACATTTAACAACCTAATGGGTGATTATAATTTTTCCTCTCTGCTATTTAAAAGGTACTGAAGTTGATATAGCTCTGTTCTTTTTGCCTGGTTTGTGAGTGTAGATTACAACCCCCCACCCCCCAAATCCTTAGGCTAAAGGATGAAAGTCTATTACCCAGAGCAGGGCCTTTCATCAAAAATGAAAAGATGAAATCTTCAATGCTATATTTTGAGCATAAAAACTGATGGTCAAATAAGTTATGATTTATTTCAGTTACTCACAGATAGGCTAATCTGAATTATGTTCAAGTTCTACTTGGGACCAATAGATCAGGGGTTGAAAATTGGCAAGAAAACACAGTTGAAG